TTTTTATATGTATACTCATGACATATATAAGCAGATTTAAATATTAATATTTGCTCATCAAATAAGATGGTTGTTTTTTCATATTTCTATTAAGGATTAAGATATTTGTGAGGATTTTGGCTTCCAGTATTTTTTGGTATTTCTTGAATTTTCAAAATAAGATATGTTCTTTTTTATGCAAATAGAAAAGTTTTTATTCTGAGGTGAACAGAGGAGGATATCACTAAAAAACCAATAACCAACCAAACAAACAAACAAACACAAAACCAAAAAGCAAGCATGTAGAGTTTCTGGCACAAAATGGCGGATGTGCGCTTGAGAAGTTTCTTCATGAACAACTTCTGATAGGACTGATTCCCCTGCGGTCTGTTACAGAACCAGACCCTTGTATGTTGTCTGAATATGGTTATGATTTGCTAGACTACAATCCACTTTGAGATTTTAGGAAAGGAATGCAGAAGTCTAATTTCCTCTATAAACTGGTATGTCAATCAGCAGCACTGGCATCAAATGGGTACTGGTCAGATGCAGAAATCCTGGGCTTACCCAGAATCTGCATTTCAGTGCATTGGCATGAAGCTTGCAAATACTGTAAAAAGATCTAACTTAGCTGGAAGCCTGGGTGGCTGATGGGTTAAGCGTCGGCTTCAGTCAGGTCCTGATCTAGGTCCGTGAGTTGAGGCAGCGTCGGGAGAGCTCCTGGGCTGATGGCTGGAGCCTGGAGCCTACTTCGATTCTGTGTCTCCTCTCTCTCTCTGCCCTCCCCACGTTCATGCTCTGTCTCTCTCTGTCCCAAAAATAAATAAAAAGCGTTGACAAAAAAAAAAAAAAGATCCTAACAGCTCAATCACTCAACAAAGGGTGTTGGGCGGTAACTTTAATAAACTGAATTAGCCACTCAACAGGTTTGTGGAAAAGAAGAAAAAAAATATTTCGTCCACATGAGTTCCTTATGCCCACATTTTTTTTTTAGGCTTAGAGACAGAACGCGAGCAGGAGGAGGGGCAGAGAGAACACAGGAAACTAACAAACTCAAAACAAACTCGCTGAAACTCAACCTTGTGAAGGCAATTTTATCTGAACACAAATCGACCTGGCAGTAAGTAACCAACTGAGCCACCCAGAGCCCTCTTATTCATTTTAGTATTATAGTAGGGCCATCCTGGTGTGGGCATCCACCCATTTGAGGGAACATTCTCAGGGAGATGTCAGGGGATATCAGAAACAAAATAAGGTTAACAGTTATATGGGGAAAAAGGGAAAAGCCTTGTTTTCTTGGAGGATGTTATAAAGAATCAAGCAGAAGGCAGAGTTAACATTGTCTACAGTAAGAAAAATAACATTACCTGCAAGATTTTAGCACTCTCTTTTCCCAAGTTATCTAAGGTTTAGCGTCAGCAAGTGTCATCTAAGAAAGGCTCAGTGGTCAGTAATATCCGTATATTCAATTTCTGAAATTTCAGAAACAGCTCTAGATAGCGATCGAACAGCTGCACTTCTTGATGAATGGGAGAAGAGACTTTCTGGGGTTGGAAAGGGGTATATGTGCTGTTGAAGGTCATTATCTCTAAATGAAAATATAAAAAAATTTTTAATCAACTGTTTTTTAAAATTTCTGAATGAATACTTAAAGATAAAATACCATCCTTTGAACCTAGAGCAGTTAATGCTTGATTACTTTTCCTACATCATAAAGAACACCTTAGGGTTATTTTGCTCTTTTTTTTTCTTACACTCAGAAAAGACAAGTTAATTTTAATATTAACTTCAGTAAAACTTCTGAACCAAGTCAATTCCAAGAACGATTCAAGCATTTTATAATTTACCCAATAGCCATCAAAGCTGTGCCATTTTCTTTTTTTAAATGTGTGCCTGTTTCTTAAATTCCAGGATTATACCAAACTCTGCCTTTTAAGAGAAAAAAAAAAAAACCCATAGAATACACATAGTACACTTCAGTGAACCTGATGAGTTTTATTTGATGATGATGCTTAACATTCTTCTACTAAAACAAACCTGGACACAAATATTAGTATGGCAGCTTTTAGAAAAATATGGGCTTTTAAAAGTGAGATCATATTTTATTTTCTAAACTCAGTTCACTGTTGCTTTATAGGGCAATTGTTAGAAAAGTTCAGAAACATAGATCTACCTCAGGTTATTACTTTGTTCCACTAAAGGCAGTCACAACTTTGCCTGACTATTTCAAAAGGCTGATTTAGTTGGTTTCCTTTAAGCATGTGTGTTTCTTTTTATGACAAGAAAAAAAAAATCCTTCAAATCTTACTAATATAAATTAATTATAGATAGATAATATAGATATATGAGAATATCTATAGATACATATAATGTATCTATACATATATATAGAAAAATAGATACATACAAGATATATATAGATATAAATAGATATAAATATAAATAGCATATATATATATATATATAGGCACATATCTATAATATCTATGTATAGATATCATAGTGTAGATAGATATACATATTATCTTTTGGTACTGCTTTCACAAGATTCTTTAATGAAGGCCAGGAATATTCAGAAGTACAAATTTGAAACTCATGGTGGTACTCATATGTAATGAATCACTATCTAGTTTAAATAAATATCCTTTTGTTAAGCCAAAATAATTTATAAGATAACCTTGTATTCCCTTAATACAAATTGGTTTAAAAGGTAAAAAGTGGGTTCTTTAAAGAAGTGCTATTATCATTATCATGAAATCATGATTTGACTGAACATATGCCATTATAACATTATGTATATTTTCGAGGTCAAAGGAAAATGTAAGATTCAGAAGGTAACTACAGGTAGTTGCCATGTATTACTGACTACTGAGTTTGTCTTTTTCTTAAACTTAAAAAATCTACCCTTGGGAATGTGTATTGCCTAAATCCTAATGCAGTAATAATTATATAAGCAATTAAAACTGACTAAGGTGAATCCCAAAGACGCAATTTTAATAGAACATTTCAAGAGTATTTTGAAAACATTTTTGTTGAATGAAATTATGCATAAATTAAAATAAGATTCTGACCTTTTTGTGTTATATGCACACAGAGGCATAATTCTGAAGAGAAAATGTATTTGACAAGGGTGTGATATGTTTATGTTTTAAGACAAATAAATGGAAATATCCTGTGGATTTTAATGATAGAGATTTGGAAATGAATTTCCTCTATTACCTGAAATCATAAAGTACAATGCATAAAATTACACAATACATAACAATACATAATACTTTTTTTTTTTTTTTTGTATTATGTATTGTTATGTATTTGTGTACTTTATGTATTATGTACTTTTATGGATTATAGGTAATAGAGGAAATTATTTCCAAATTCTAGTCATTAAAGTAATCCACAGGGATATTTCCATTTATTTGTCTTAAAACATAAACACACTTTTGTCAATACATTTTCTTCAGAATTGTCTCTGTGTGCATAGACACAAAAAGGTCAGAATCTTATTTTAATTTATGCATAATTTCATTCCAACAAAAAATGTTTTCAAAATTGATTTCTGAAATGTTCATTAAAATTGGTGCCCTTTGGGACTTACCTTAGTCAGTTTTAATTGCTTATATAATTACATACTGCATTAGGATGCTTCTTAGGGTACTAGCTACATTCCAAGTAGATTTTTAAGTTTAAGAAAAAGACAAACTCAGTAGTCAGTAAATGTTTAATACATGGCAACTACCTGTAGTTACTCTTCTGAATCTTACATTTTCCTTTGACTCGAGTGGACATAATGTTATAATGGCATATGTTCAGTCAAATCATGATTTTCATGATAATGATAATAGCACTTCTTTAAAGAACCCAATTTTTACCCAAAACCAATTTGTATTAAGGGAATACAAGGTTATCTTATAAATTATTTGTATTTAACAAAATATATTTATTTAAATCTAGATAGTGATTCATTACATATAAAAATATACCTGCACTATGAGTTTCTAAATTTGTACTTTGAATATTCCCTTGGCCTTCATTAAAGAATCTTGTGAGCAGTACCAAAAGATATGTATATCTATCTACATCTATGTATCTATACATAGATATAGATATGTGCCTATATATATATATATATATGCTATTTATATTTATATCTATTTATATCTATATTTATATATATCTGTATGTATCTATCTATATGTATAGATATCTATAGATATATGTATCTATAGATATCTCTATATCTATATTATCTATCTATAATTAATTTATATTAGTGTAAGATTTAAAGGATTTTTTTCTTACTATAAAAGAAACACACATGTTGAAGAAACCAACTAAATCAGCCTTTGAAATAGGTCAGGGCAAAGTTGTGACTGCCTTAGTGGAACAAAGTAATAACCTGAGGTAGATCTATGTTTCTGGAACTTTTCTACTAATTGCCCTATAAAGCAACAGAGAGTGAACTCATATTTAGGAAAATAAGAAATATGATCTCAATTTCTTTAAAGCCCATATTTTTCTAAAAGCGTTTTCATACTAATATTTTGTGTCCATATTTGTTTTAGTAGAAGAATGTTAAGCATCATCAAATAAAACTCACTAGGTTCACTAGGAAGTGTACCATGTGTATTCTATGGGTTTTTTTTTTTTTTTTCTCTTAAAAGGCAGAGTTTGGTATAATCCTGGAATTTAAGAAACAGGGCACATATTTAAAAAAAGAAAAAAAGAAATGGCACAGTTTGGATGGCTATTGGGTAAATTATAAAATTGGATGTTGAATTGTTCTGGAATTGACTTGGTTCACAGAAGTTTTGCTTCAGTTAATATTAAAATTAACTTGTCTTTTTCTGAGTGTAAGAAAAAAAAAAAAAGAGCAAAATAACCCCAAGGTGTTCTTTATGATGTAGGGAAAGTAACTTGGCATTAACTGCTCTAGGTTCAAAGGGATGGTATTTTGTATCTTTAAGCATTCATTCAGAAATTTTAAAACAGTTGATTAAAAATTTTTTTATTTTTCATTTTAGGGGAGATATCACAGAGACCTTCAACAGCACATATACCCCTTTCCAACTCTGTGAAAAAAAGCTCCGGTTGCCTCTTCTCCCATCCTCGATCAAGAAGTGCAGCTGTTCGATCGTTATCTAGAGCTGCTTCTGAAATTTCAGAAATTGAATACATTGATATTACTGACCACACTGAGCCTTTCTTAGATGACACTGCTGATCAGCAAACCTTAGACAATTTGGAAAAAGAGTTAAATATGCTGGGAAATCTTGCAGGTAATGTTATTTTTTCTTACTGTAGACAATGTTAACTCTGCCTTCTGCTTGATTCTTTATAACATCCTCCAAGAAAACAAGGCTTTCCCTTTTTCCCTCATATAACTGTTAACCTTTGTATTTGTTTCCTTGGATATCCCCTGACATCTCCCTGAGAATGTTCCCAAATGGGTGGATGCCCACACCAGGGATGGCCCCCTTAGCCTACATAATACACAGTTAAAATGGAATAAGGAGGGGCTCCTGGGTGGCTCAGTTGGTTACGTGTCCAACTTCGGCTCAGGTCGATTTTGTGGTTCATGAGTTCAAGCCCCGCGTTGAGCTCTGTGCTGACAGCTCAGAGCCTGGAGCCTGCTTCAAATTCTGTGTCTCCCTCTCTCTCTGCCCCTCCTCTGCTCGTGCTCTGTCTCTGTCTAAAAAAAAAAATGTGGCATAAGGAACTTCATGTGGACGAAATATATTTTTTTTCTTCTTTCCACAAACCTGCTGAGTGGCTAATCTCTGTAGCTTTATTAAAGCTACTGCCCAACACCCTTGTTGGAGGATTGAGCTGTTAGATCTTTTTTTTTTTTTTTTTTAATTTTTTTTCAACGTTTTTATTTATTTTTGGGACAGAGAGAGACAGAGCATGAACGGGGGAGGGGCAGAGAGAGAGGGAGACACAGAATCGGAAGCAGGCTCCAGGCTCCGAGCCATCAGCCCAGAGCCTGACGCGGGGCTCGAACTCACGGACCGCGAGATCGTGACCTGACTGAAGCCGGACGCTTAACCGACTGCGCCACCCAGGCGCCCCAGCTGTTAGATCTTTTAAAGCAGTATTTGGCAAGCTTCAGTGCCAATGCACTGAAATGCAGATTCTGGGGTGGGGCCCAGGATTCTGCACATCTGACCAGTACCCATTTGATGCCAGTGCTGCTGATTGACATACCAGTTTGAGGAGAAATTAGACTTCTGCATTCCCTTTCCTAAAATCTCAGTGATTGTAGTCTAGCAAATCATAACCATATTCGTGAACATACAAGGGTCTGGTTCTGTAACAGACCGCAGGGGAATCAGTCCCCTTTTTATCAGGAAGTTGTTCATGCAGTTGTTCCTGCCGCACATCCAAGAAGCAGGCCAGAAACTTCCACATGTGCTTGCTTTTTGGTTTTGTGTTTGTTTGTTTGTTTGGTTGGTTGGTTGGTTTTTAGTGATATCCTCCTCTGTTCACCTCAGAATAAAAACTTTTCTATTTGCATAAAAAGAACATATCTTGGCTTTGAAAAATTCAAGAAATACCAAAAAATACTAAAAGGGAAGCCAAAATCCTCACAACATCTTAATCCTTAATAGAAATCCTTAATATGAAAACAACCATCTTATTTGATGAGCAAATATTAATATTTTAAACATCTGCTTATGTCATGAGTATACATATAAAAATACATAGAAGGATGAATAGATTGAAGGAAAGACAGTAGTCATTTTATAAAAAATAAATTTAGGCTCTACATATTTTTACATGGTTACATATTTACTCATATTTCCTTTTATTTCCTTTTTCGTAGTGAAAATTCATAAAGATTAGATGATCAGTACCAGCATTTTTATTTTGGCTTTCCAATTTTGAGCCTTTATTTTAAATATATTTTTTAATGTTTTATTTTATTTTTCAGAGAGAGAGAGAAAGAGAGTGAGCATGAGCAGGGGAGGGGCAGAGAGAGAGGGAGACACAGAATCTGAAGCAGGCTCCAGGCTCCGCTCTGTCAGCACAGAGCCCAACTGGAGGTTCAAACCCATGAACTGTGAGATCATGACCTAAGCCGAAGTTGGACACTTAACCGACTGAGCCACCCAGGCACCCCTTGAGCCTTTTATTTTGATTCAGCTCTAGAAGATTCGATTATGACATTCTTGAGAATTTGTTTCATCTTTACGGCTGAATGGCAAATTAGCTAGATTAATCTAGTGGATCACACTTTTTTCCCTCTGCATTTAGTAGACATTTCTCCACTGTCTTCTGTGCCTCATTTTGATGCAAGTTAGTACTTAGCACAGTTTTTCCATTTACTTTTGTTTGGTTGAATTTAATTGTAGCTCTATTACTCCAGTTCTTTCATGTTTGAGAATGAGTGCTTCCTTTATATTTAAACGGCAAATTGAGTGAAGGTAATATAGTTGGGGCATTTTTCTTGTAAACCTTGTACATGCTGATTCATTGTTATCTGTGTCTGAATTGTTATGAAGTAGTTTAAGGTCACCTTAATTTTTTTCCTCACTCTCTCTCTTGCATGTGACAGGCTTCTTTCCTGAATGGATGTTTGAAGAATTTTTTCTTAATCTTTGAAATTCAATAACGGGACCAGGAATGTGTTTCAATATCAATAATTCAGCATTTCTTAAAGCAGTGGGCTCTCTTTCTATCTGTAGAAAAATTGCTCCTTATTTTCAGAGATATTTTCTGCTGTTGTATATTTGAATTGCTTTTCTGTTCCATATGGGATTATCCTGCTGACGAACCTATTTTGTCTGTGTTGGATCTTCTTTGTACAATGTATTTACTTACATTTTCGTCAACTCTTTTAACCGATTTTATTTTCCTTTGCATTTACTACTTTACCTTCAGCTTGTCTTCTACATTGGGATTTTAATTTTCAGCTACAGTTATAATCCATTCTTTATTGACTGATTTAATACATTAGCTTTCTAAAGGTATTCTTTGATTTCTTTTTGTAAATTTTTACTTTGATGTATTATAAACTTATGGAAAATTTTCAAGAATGCAAGAATAGTACAAGGAGGGGCGCTTGGGTGGCTCAGTCAGTTGAGTGTCTGACTTCAGCTGAGGTCATGATCTCATGGTTCATAAGTTCAAGCCTTGCATCAGGCTCTGTGCTGACAGCTCAGAGCCTAGAGCCTGCTTCACGTTCTGTGTCTTCCTCTCTTACTTCCCCACCCCCACTCATGCTCTGTCTTCTCTCTCTCTCTCTCTCTCAAAAATAAATATTAAAAAATTTAAAAAGGAGAGAGAATAGTAGAAGGAATTACTGTATACTCTTTACCGAGTTCACTACTTGTCTTTTGCGCTATTTGGATATATGTATACATGTACACACACACACGCACACTGTACTTTTTTGTGAATCATTTGAGAGGAGGTTATAAACATTATGAGCCTTGATCAAAAAAATACTTGAGTGTAAAAAAATACATCAGTCAGTGTGTGTTACCCACGAACAGGACATTCTTTCAAGGATCATAATACAATGATCAAAAATCAGGAAATTTAACATTGATACAATATGATCCTCTACTCTAGTCCACAGTGCCTATCTAATTTTTAAAACTTGTCTCAGTGGTGTTCATTATAGCTTGTTTTTTTCTGGTATCGGATCCTATCCAGGAACAGGTGACCACTGAAAAATTTTTTTCTTGTTAACATCTGACATGACATTTGATCTTTGAGATTAGTTTTGCTGTTTTTAATTAATTAATTTTTAATTGAAATGTGATTGACTTACCATAACCTTTTAGTTTCAGCGGTACATAATAGTGATTCAGCGTGTTTATACATTATGAAATAATCCCCATAGTAAGTTCACTTACCATCTGTCACCACACACAGTTATTACAATATTATTGACTATATCCCCTATGGAGTACATTATATCTCTATGGCTTGTTTATTTTATAACTGGAAGTTTGTACCTCTTAATCCCCTTCACCTGTTTAGCTCACTCCTCCCACTCCTTTCCTCTCTGGTAACCAACGGTTTGTTTCCTATATCTATGAAACTGTTTCTGTTTTGTTTTATGCGTTTGTTTTGTTTTTTTAGATTCCACATATAAGTGAAATCATGTAGTATTTGCCCTCCATGTTGTTGTAAATGGCAAGGTTTCATTCCTTTTTTTATGGCTGAGTAATATTCTGGTGTGTGTGTATGTGTGTGTGTGTGTGTATCTCACATCTTTATGCATTCATATATTCATGGACACTCAGGTTGCTTCTGTATTCTGGCTATTGTAAATAATGGTGCAATGAACATAGCGGTGCAGATAATCTCTTTGAACTGGTGTTTTCATTTTATTCAGGTAAATATCCAGAAATGGAATTGCTGGATTGTATGGTAGTTATATTTTTACTTTTTGTGAGGAACCTCCGTATTGTTTTCCATAGTAGCTGCTCCAATTTACATTCTTACCAACAGTGTCCGAGGGTTTCCTTTTTTCCATGTCCCCACCAACACTTGTTATTTTTTTTGTCTTTTTGATAATAACCAATCTGATGGGTAGTATATCATTGTGGTTTTGGTTTGCCTTTACCTGATGGTTAGTGATATGGAGCATATCGTTTCATGTGATTGTTGTCCTTCTGTTTGTCTTCCTGGAGAAATGTCTGTTCAGGCCTGCTCATTTTTTAAATGCATTGCTTTTTTTTTAATTAAAAAATGTTTGTTTGTTTGTTTATGAGGAAGAGAGTGGGAAAGGAGCAGAGAAAGAGGCAGACAGAGAATTCCAAGCAGGCTCTACACTGTCAGCACAGAGCCTGATGCAGGGCTCCATCCCACCAACTATGAGATCATGACCTGAGCCAAAACTAAGAGCTGGATGATTAACTGACTAAGCCACCCATGTTGTTTGCTTTTTTGATACTAAGTTGTGTAAGTTCTTTTTGTAGTTTGAATATTAATCCATTATTGGCTGTATGACTTGCAAATATTCTTCTCCCATTCAGTAGGTTGCCTTTCCATTTTGTTAATGGTTTCCTTTGCTGTACAAATGCCATTTAGTTTGATATAATCTCATTTGTTTATTTTAGCTTTTCTTGCCCTTGCCTGAGGATACTAGTCCAAAAATATATTGCCAAGACCCGTGTAAAAGAGTTTACTGCCTATAGTTTCTTGTATGAGCCTTATGATTTTAGGTGTTACATTCAAGTCTTTAATCCATTTTTAATCTATTTTTATATGTGGTTTAAGATAGTGGTGCAGTTTCATTCTTCTGTGTGTAGCTGTCCACCCA